CCAAGAAGCCGCCCGGCCAGATCCTCACCGGCACGCTCGTCGCAAGCCGACATGCTCATCGGACGCCCGCAGGACAACAGCTGGTCCATGCGCGCCGCGAGTCCCTTCGCTGGCTGTCTCCTTCGCCGACGCCCGCAAACTGTTCGACAGTTTGCCAAGCTACAACGAGTTCTTTTTTCACAATTTCCTTTGCGACTCCGACGATTCGTCCTCCGATGATGAGGAGGAGATATTGGCTGCTGTCTTGGTCCATCACCACCTCAACAGCCAGCAGCCATTGTTCCGTGGCTCCATTCTGGGCCACCTTCCGGCGTTGAATCGCAACCGAGAGAGCGGGCTTTTCCTTCTTTGGAAGGACTACTTTGATACAACAAACCCATTGTTCAAACATCAGAAATTTTGCCGTCATTTCCGTTGAGTAGGCATGTCTTCAACCGTATTAGAGAGGGGGTGGTCGGCTATGATGACTATTTCGAGTGCAAAGAGGATGCCGTTGGCAAGATTGTTTTTCCTCTTATCAGAAATGCACTGCCGCCATCCAAATGCTTGCATACGGAGTGCCCGGTGATCTCATTGACGAGTACGTCCGTATGAGCGAGTCTACTTGCCTAGAGTTTCTGTATAAGTTCTGCAAGGCTGTTATTGCTGTGTTTGGCCCTGAGTACTTGAGAGAGCCGACTGTTGAAGATACAACCCGTTTATTGGCGATGAATGCCAGCAAGGGCTTCCCAGGGATGTTTGGTAGTATAGACTGCATGCATTGAGAGTGGAAGAACTGCCCTTCTGCTTGGCAAGGGCAGTATAAGAGCCATGTCAGGGCTTGCACTGTCATACTTGAGGCCGTGGCGTCTCAAGATCTCTGGATCTAGCACTTTTTTTGGCATGGCCGAATCACACAATGATATCAACGTGCTTCAGCGCTCGCCGGTGTTTGCTAGGCTTGCCGAAGGCAACAACCCACCGGTGAACTTTACTGTCAACGGCCACACCTACGACAAAGGATAATATCTGGGTGACGGTACCTATCCTCAGTGGATCACTATTGTCAAGACAATACCCAACCCTGTCGGAGAGAAGAGGAAAAGATTTGCCCAAGAGCAAGAGAGTGCTAGGAAGGATGTCGAGCGTGCCTTTGGTGTTTTGCAATCTCGCTGGGGCATCATTCGGTATCCTGCTAATAACTGAAGCACGCAGAAACTGTGGGAATGACTGCTTGTGTGATCATGCATAATATGATCGTAGAAGACGAGCGCCCGGAACGTCTGTATGATCAAGGCTTTCAGTTTCAGGGTGAGAATCTTGTGCCTGGGCATGAAGTAGCGGCAATGTTTGAACAATTCACCCAATTTCATGAAAACATGCGTGATTGGAAAACTCACGTACAACTGCAAAATGATTTGGTTGAGCATGTGTGGGCTCATGTTGGCAATCAATAGATGTAACTTCTTTTATTCGATTTGCAAAGCTATGTGAGACATTTTTATTTTCATTTGGTTTGTAATAAACTATGCTATTTTATTTCGTCCAAAACGATTTTATTTTAAACTGTGCAATCATGCAAAAAAAATAGAGGTGTGGTAGCCACGCCGGCAGATATGGGTCAGCGCTTAGACACCCTGCCGACCCATATTTAAAAGAAGGCGAACGCCGGGCGGGCGGCCGATCTAAACGGATAAAAAACGGATGAAATCACCGTCCGTTTGGATCGCCCCATTGAAGTTATTGAAGTTGCTCTTAGTGCCTTCCAAATCGCGTCGAAGCTCCGCATTCTTGCCAGTCTCAGGTGTGCCGACCACCCCGACACAAGTGCGGACAGTTGTGTGGCAGCATCACTACGTGTGGCTCGTGCCTCACACTGCATCCATGCATGCATCCACTCCTCAGTTCTAAGTTCTCACTGCCGTGGAAAATAAATCAAACGTGTACACACAGGTGACTTACGACGACAAGCAAACATGTAACGCTATAGCAAAACCGAGATGGTGGCCACGACAAAACTGATGGAACTTTGGAACAAGATGTGTGCTAGCTAGCTATAGCAAAACCGAGATGGAGGGGTCAAAATTTCCGAATGGAACGTAGAGATTGGTCCGAGCTGGGCAACGTTGGTGCATGCCTCGATCAGTGGTGGTGGGAGGTCCACTGGGTCAGGCTCTACTACGTACAGTACGTAATACTTCTGCGCACACTTGAACTGATCCACGTTTCAAAGTCGAGAAGCGGTAGCTGCATCTAGACTGGGCTGACCCGCGGCGTCGCGTGCTGCAGAATATTCCAACCTCGATCGTGTCTACATAGATTTTGTGGAGCCACTCATCAGCAGGGAAAAACACGCACGAAATGTGCACTTTGCCGGATGCGGATTAAAATCAGCTGGGTGTTATGCAGCATTTATATATTTCTACTTTTATTACCCTCTCTAGGAAGTTTGTTTTTACAAGGTCAATAG